TCTTAGTTACGTATGTTGACTTATTTATGAAAAGAACTACTTTACGTAAAGAACCCACTAAATAAATAAAAAATCAAGGCAAAAAGAGCACAATCGCACAGAATCCTTTAAAATAACGTATAGAAAATATTTATGATGATTTTTAAACAAATTTACTTTTATCACTCAGTTAATCTGTTTTAAAATTAAAATGTTAATTATTTTCATGAATAAGCATACGTTTTACCTGTTTTGCAAAAAAAAAAATTCGTTGCGACGGTAGCGCCAAAAAAAAAATCCGTTGCGTATTTTAGTCATACCCATTGTTCCTGTCCGAATTTGGTTCCTTTCTTTAGAATATAGACTGGCTCATTGACACGTTAGTTATTAGGTAAATAAAATTAGATAATGATAAAAAGAATTGCACGCTGCGTCTAATAACACTCGTCTTCCATTCTCATCATTTTCCATTATGTTAAAATATTTGGTTTGTTGTTTGTATGTACATTAATATTCTTTTGGGAATAAATATGTTTAAACCAATGTATAAAATCTAATTGAAACGAGCCATAAAATCTGTCCCAGAATTTTGCCCCAATTTAACTGTTCCAATAATTTGTATGTCCATTATTCCAGCCTTGATCATTAACAAGACCTGTCACATCTCCCCCTCAAAATTGATGCGATATTGTTGATGTATTGTTGTTGTGTTGTTTTTTCTTATAACCAAAGAAATATATACTATGATAAAGTGAAATATTGATTTTGTTTTGATTGTTTAAAAATGTCAAACCTTTTGGGACCTAGATTGATCACTTTCAGGTCACTCCAAATGAGTTCCTTCTTTTTGTCATCACCCACACCAAGTTGATTATTGAAGCGGGACGAATAAAAGGTTGGAACGGTTGCAGACGTCTCTTATTGAGAAGACCTGTTTATGTCTATACGAACAATTAACTAGGCGCTAATTAATATCATACTTAAATTGTGTTTTTTTCCCCCTCTTTTTTCGAATTTGTATGCCTTTTAATGTACTAAATTACTAGCATTGCGGCATTGCTAATTATCGTTAAAATATCAGCGCTAGTGCATAGCGTTTTTTTCCTCTTTTTATTTGGTGACAATAGGCCTAAGTATAAGTTTATTTACTATTGTACAATTTCGAATCAAGACTACCTACCCGTTAAGCCAATATACACTAACAAGAGTCCAAAATATTTAAACACAACAAACATTGTACATGTATATCAAATTAATTCTTCTATGCTCACTGTAAATTGTACACTTCTTAGGAACTGCAAATTTCTAACTAAAGAGAAATGTATTCATTTGCTATATAAATAATTATTTTAGAAGTCATATCGTTACGTCAAAAGCTGATTTTTTTTTAATAAAAACAAAACGATTCAAGCGGGAAACAATATTTTACTAACCGGAAACAGACACTGCCGTTAATGTAAAGTTTATTTGTACTGGAAGTTTTCATTTATAACATATGCTTTGTAAAATATAGATTAAACTTCAACAAATGTTGTCAAATATACTATGATTTAGTTTTTCCTTTCAAAATTGTTTCCAGATGAAACAATAGACGAAACAAATAAATAAAATACATAAATATTGGTTCAAAATATTGAAAAACCATTTATTGATAAGTTGCAAAATAAAAGGAAAATATTTAATCCCTTGCAAATTGGTATATCAAGTTTTTACGTTTCAAAAATTTTAAAAGAAATTTAAAAGTAACATAAACTAGATTCTACATTTTACCGTACTTTCGCTTCCCCAACCAAGACTGAAAATTTTTAATACCCAAAAAATAAAAAAAGGACGAAAAAGCCCTCAAAAGGGCACATAGGGGAAAGCACCGCATGTTTTTTACTGTATAAAATTGATATAAATTTTTTCTGTTAAAAGCTAAAAAAACCAGTGTTTAGGCTGCTTTGGGGAGGAAGATCATTACCCGTGTCACGAAAAAAACCAAATATGGTTTGGGCCCCCCAGAGGATCCAGCCCAGCGGCAGTTTTTAATAGGACATCTGTTCGCAAACCAATCTATTACAAGTAAGGAACTGATGGGAAAACCCCATGGTGTGATCAGCTGTCTGGCCCCCTGCTGGTCGAAAAAGACTATTTTGGTTTTGTCATGACACCGCTCATATTACTTTAGCTTTAATGTTCGGGAAATTTTTCACGAAAAGAAATCGAACAAATCGGCTGAATGGCGAAAACGTTAAAAATTTTACGTCGTAACAATGAACTTCATTTTCTGATCATTGCATTGTCATTTGTCACTCTGTTTAACAAAAGAAACCACATTTCTATTTCATTAAAAGGACCAAAAATTTTTTAACAGCCGGCATTCTTTGAAAATACTTCTTAAATGTGAACCCATGAAAAACATGTACCTCCTGCGTATTTTCAGTAAAATGCTCAAATGCTACGCATTTTCAGTGCATTAACTCGACCTATTTAGTGAAATCAAATAACATTTTATTTGCTTTTTACATTACAGCTGCTGTTTTTTAATGAATATTTTGCAGATTTTTGTGTAAAGTGTACTTTGTATCACATTTTTCATTCTATTACAAAATACAATGTACAAAAAATGTTCTTATGAATAGACGTAATACGAAACTCGCGCCAATACATCCCCACTTCCATAGATTACGCCATGTCCTGTACAAGTAGAACTGTTTTCAAGAAAAAATGCAGACACACATTTGTCGTCTGCAAGGCACGTGCGTATGCATTGCAGCAGATTGACGTCAGTAATATTCCAAAGTCTGTTCTCGCCAACATATTTGTTACGCATATCCTGTGATTCAACAAAGTGTCCTGAAAAGAGGGAAAAAACAATCTTGAAAAGCGTTCATTCAACTGAATTTGACAGACTTCAGATCTTCGTGTGAAAGAAGTGACCGGCAAATTTATGTTTAGTTTATTTTATTGTGTTTTGTACAGTACGAATTAACACCTTTAATATCATATACATGTACATAGAACATTTTAACAACATTATCTAGAGTACTTTTCTCAGGTTTTGCAACGAAACTACAATTTATATAATTTTTAAAATAAGATAGAAATTAAGTGGTAATTTTTAATCAAGGGAGAGAAATACGATTTTGTTTAATGTTCCTGTGTTACAATCACAGTCAATATTTCCTCCCTTGTGTCTGAGAACTCGAATCCCGCACTCTTCATGCACTGTGCATGTATGGGTCTTATTCAATGAAAAGGTCTTCAAAATATTATACAATTAATAATTAATGTACACTTAATGTTTAGGAAATATATTTTGATTTTAGTATTCTGTGTTATTATAGAGCATGGTACGTAGTTTGGATTACCTGCCCTTTTCTCTCCGTTCTAGTACGACGGGAACCAGACTACACGGTACGGAGTTCAGATGCGTAGTAATATAATCCCGAAGGCTACGGCCTGAACAATTAATTACGAACATCTGGACGACCATTTTCAATCATTCTAGATAGTTTTAGAGCAAAATTCAATAAAAAGTTGTTTTTTATTGATCAGATTTTTCAAATTTAATATGTTGGTTCGCAAATACGGAGGGAGAAAATAAGAACTGCTGTGAAATATATCACACTTCCGGCCTTCTTTGTATATGTAAGGAATGTAAGAATACCCCATTAATAATAAACGTGAAGCGAGAAAGTACCTGATGTCGCCCGTGTGCGTGGTGAATGCGGTATGATGACTCGTGCGGAGTTTCCTTGTGTGAATGACGGTGGCGGAGTATTAGTTGTAACTGTCTGGGCCGCTGTTGTTTTAGCATCTGTGGTAGCTACGGCAACCTGTGTCGTCGTGCCGCTCAAAGATGCTGCATGTGAAACAGCATCGCTTTCTGATACAAACATAGAGCATGTGGCCTTACTGACGTCATGATCGGTGGTTGTAAACATAAAATTGAATGTATACAGTGCGCCATTTGTACGAGCATAGATATCTTTCACGATGTACCATGTTTTATCGGCAGCCTCGTGAAGCACCGTGCTTCCAAAGTAGTCCTATTATAAAAACAATCCACAATGAACTGTTACGATAAACCGGCATAATGCAATAATCATAAAGTACATAGAAAAATACTAAATAGATAACTACCTTACACAAGAAAATGTGCAGATATATCCATAAAAAGTATTTTATTTTTAAAATCTACCGATAGAGAAATGAAGCGACGAACAAGCGATGAAGAGGATTTAAGATAGGCAGGTCTGATTTGAAAAGACATAAAGTTACACCAACATCTTATACATGCTTGTGGAATTTCTACTGAAAATAGTCAAGACAAGTGAATTAAAAATAACCTTGGATAATATTAATTTTATAGTACATTCAAAGACACAAACGTAAATACAAAAACGCCGCCAAACCAAAATTCATGTACATCCCAGTATACATGTAACTAACTTCATATGTATAAATAAGCTCAGTTTATCTGGATGTTTTAGAGTCATTTGGTTTTAAACGCCCAGCCAGCTTTTGATTCATTCATGTGAGGATACTGAGAGGTGCCAGTTTAAAGATTTACATCCATGTGCCCTTCCCAGTCTATGTGCGACATAAAACTTAACAAATAAATGTAGGAATCATAAGAATAAAAAAAATACTTTTGTTATATCCTTGAAAATCATGTAGACAAATATTATCACTGTGCGGTACGTATATAAAAAGAGCGGTTATTTTACACAGGGTCCCGTGCACGGAAGGGCCTCTAGCTGGGTAAATCTTTTAGCAGGTAATCTTTCAACTCGCCGTACACTTTGTGGATGTGACTTAAAACCCAGCTTACAACGCCCGAAAATTACAATAATTGTATGAAATATTAAACAATTATGAGATCAAATATTGTAGCTTACGCTCTGGTATTGCACTGGGACCGTAAAATCGATCAAAAGCATGGCTTCACGTGCTCCAACCGAGAGACCGATAAAAGATGGCCCCCAAACGCCCGTGACCCCAATGGGCCTGACTTTCCCAAATAACGCTGCATACTAATCGGGGTTATCTGTAATAAAATAGGGGAATTTTTTATTATTTTATGGCAACAAAGGGTTCTTTCCCCTTTCACCAAAGGGTTCCACATTTTGGTTTTCCAAGACAAATATGCCGAACCCTGTGTTTTCACGGAAATGTACAATGAACCAGAAATAAAGGGGTTTGGATTTTTTAATATATCACAGTATTAATCATGTACCTTAATAAAGTAGGGTCTTTTTTTATTTAAATGATAGCGGAAATATCACAGCAGTTGAAAATGAATTTAATATGTGTGTATACAATGTTTCAGGTCACGAGTTTGATTCAAAGACCGATCATGCTGGATACCATGATACGATAAGTGTTCAAATATGAATGCATCTTGAAACCTATGAGAATCAACTACGTGCTTCGATGAATTAATATGTGAACACTTCTTTAGAAAAGGATTATCCCTCATTATATAGTGAGAATGGCTAGAACCGAATCACACCTTATTTAAAAAATGAGAATTTCCAAGTTTAAAGAGAACAAATGTCGCTGACATTAGAATGTCCTGATTTCTAATTCAGGATTTCAAAATTACATGTACCTGCCGGTGTATCTGTAAGTTCTTCTGCATTGTAAGCAAAGTTCTCAGCCGCTTGTTGGCCTCTAAATTGGTAGCAGTCACCGGAGGGTATTCCTTTACCAAGCCATATGTCATAGCTAAATTCCGGATTGAAAGATAGTTGCCCGGAACTACCATATCCGACCCTCGAAATAACCCATTTTCCACTTTGGGCTATCTCTTCATAACCACCGGAAAGATAATCCTGCAAGATATTTCATGTAAGATAAAATGAACTAGTGTAAAGTGCTTACTTTGGACTTTGTTTCAGCTCTTAAATTGTGTCTTATAGATCATTCTCTTTGAACAGTCACGATCTGGGAAGGGATTGTACCAGTTTCAATATACATGTTAATTGCTTGATATCATACTTATTCAAGATCAAGAATGTACCAAGTACCGGTGGAGACATTTGAACTTTATGAATTCCCGATTATATCTTCGTGAATTCACAAGAACTCACGTTTTTAACATACGGAATTCATGAATTTACGAGTTCAATTTCATGAATTCACGATAAGATCTTCGGGAATTCACAATTTCAACTTCGTGAACTCACGTTTTCAACATACGGAATTCATGAATTCACGAGTTCAATTTCATGAATTCACGATTTCAGCTTCACCAATTCACGATTTCAACTTCATGAATTCACGATTTCAACTTATGAATTCACGATTTCAACTTCACAATTTTGACTTCACGAAATCACTATTTCAGTTTCGTGAATTCACGATTTCAATTTCAACTTCATGAATTCACGCTGTCAACTTCATGAATTCACGATTTCAATTTCACGAAGCTGAAATCGTGAAATGTGCCCGCTGGTCATTCGTAGAAATGGCTTTGACCGCAAATATACATGTACAATATTATTAAGAACATTTGATCTAATGTGACACAACTACTACAAAAAAAGAACGATTAAGAAGGAAAATTAGCGTTAATACCTTGTAAGTCAGTATTGGAACCCCAAATCTGGAAACAATATAGGTCTCATGTGCACTGTAAGTGTGTCCCGAGTTGTCGATATTGCATATGGCAATTGACTTCCATATACCATCGTTGAGTGGTGACTTTGAAATTATCGTGAAGGTATTGTTCCCTAACAGCTCACAATCTTGAAGAAAAAGAAGTGAGAATTAAAATGATATACCCATGTTTAATATCGTGCATTGTTCAATGTAACCGAAGAAAGCCGCGCACTTTTGTTAGTGCATGTTTTATCTTTGTGCTTTCGTCGAGCAATTTTTATTTATTTCACAGTTTACAAAATATATTCAATGTAAATCACCATATATGCAATATTATCAAGTTAGCCTCTTTTTCATTTTTATTCCAGTCCTTCTATTGTACTCTATCTAGCTTGTTTTTTATATTCCTAGTCCAAAATAATCTATATTAAAACACTATTGTACTACGTCTTATGTGTTTCTATTTTCAATTTATACCAGAACCTTACTGTAGTCGATGAAACAAAGTTCTGTCGAAATGTAAAAGATTTAGTGGTGTGAAATAAAGACGACTTAATACATTGCTCTTTTGGCTGTAAAACCTAGCGCCTAGTCCAAAACGCCAATATAGATTTGACAATGTAATCGCCCAAAATAATTCATTATCGTACTCAGCATTGAATAATAAGCTCATAGCATTATTACAACCACAAAAGCGGTTGTAACATAAAACCGGTTGCAACATTTATCATTGCTGTTAAAGGGACTCCACTGAAGCCTTTTGACACGGCGGGACTTGAAATATTTGTTTGGAGAATAATGTTCCATTTGATGTAGGTCTACACTTATAGCGTGTGTACATATAATTTCAGATAATTAGCTCTCGATATTTTTCCAGAATAATTAAACGACCCCAAAATGAACAGTGTTGGAACTATTTTCACTCAAATCGGGCAAAGAATAGCACAAATAACTATTTTCTTTTTTTTCTTAGTATATTTACAAATTATCTTTTGCATATCTTTCTGTTTTCAGTAACCTAGCTGATCCATGTAAGAAATGCAAATTTTATGTTTTAGGCTTTTGGCTCTCGTTAGAAATTCTTTAAAGCATACTTTTACAAAGACTGCTTAATTAAGTAATTCGAACTTACATTAAGTTGGATATTTAATCTATTTATCATAGTTATAACCAATTAAAAATCTATTTAAATGATCCTTTCGAATAAGCATTTTAAAAAATCCCCAACAAACTTTCTTATAATGGAAAATTTATTTTTGTCTGATATATCAATCTTTACTAATTTTTTATTGCAACACCTTCCCCCATCATTACATTTTCACTGCTATTCTATTCTTATTAATAATTTATGCGGTTCTGTGGAGTCATATATCGAGACATTAACCTTTATACAGAAATTAGTATAGTGGAATGACGCATAGATATCAATGTTGATATTAACTCATTAATCATATTGGTTTAAAGAAGCTCTTCAAGCAGACATTGATAGCTTGGTAGGGAACCATAATTGGACAGGGAACCAGATTATCCCGTTGCCAACTATCATTCGGTGATGTTTTAATTTAACGGTAACTAAAACACGCAGCATTGTTACGTCACAAAAGTTGACGTTACACATTAGCAACGTCATATTGCACCCGGAAGATTACAAAGGCTGTTTCTAAACCATTTAATTATGAAAAATTAATGGCTCGTGAAAATCGAGGCTGTTTTGTTTGGCTCATAAGTTTAAAGAAGTCATGCAACGAAAGGGTGAGTAGAATAAATAGAATTTTTGAACATTCAGTTTAGATAATAAATCAACGGTTTTTTTGAGAATCATTTAAAATGGCGGCATAATTTACTTTAGGGAATTTATTGATGGCGATTATGTTGATGATTATAAAAATAATAATATAAAAAAATATAATAATAATAATAATAATAATAATTGTTAATAATAATATATATTCAATGATAAAATGATAAGATGATTCTAAGATTTTAGTGGGAACTAAAAATTTAAACATGAGCAGTGTCATTAACAGTTCAAATAAAAAATATACAATAAAATCATTGGCTTCTGAAACTTGAATGCAGGTTAATACTTAAAATAAGGAACATTGACTCTTTTACAGTTTGCAAGATTTCGAAACCGCATGCGCCAAAGATACTATGCAAGAAGAGGCAAGACCCTTGACCCAGAAACCCTGTTAAATGAAACAGGAAATGCCGACATGGTCGTCTGTGAGATTGCCAGCAAGTCAAATAAAGTCGTTCCTCAATGGTTGTCATCTCTGATTGGTATGGTAGTTTATACATTAATTTATAAATTGTTTTATAAAAGAATTCTTACTGTAGTATTTTCTACAAACATTTACCGTTTTAATGTCCAGAAACGAAAATCAAAGTACAGGATTGCAGATTGGCTGGATATAAACAACTAAAATGTAAAGAAAAAAAAACAACAAACAAAACATTTCCTCTTTGATTTTGTTAAATTTTCATATAATAAAAGATGTAACAAAAATAAAACATAAACAATTTAAAAACACACTCCTTTTCAGGTGATGTTGTTGATAATGAAAGTACAACAGTGAAAGAGACCACATCAGACGACAAACTTGGTATATATACATGTATATTTTCTCAATTACTTTTACAATGTCATTACTGAAAATACAGCAGAAATTCCAAAAAATATCTTTTAAAATTTAATCAGATAGTTGAAAAAGTCCGTTTTGTAATCCATCAAGTACAGCATATATTGCCGTTGCTACATCTTTAATGAACCCGCAATTTAATTAGCTGTATAGTTTAAACAGAATGATTACGAGATTTTTGTTAAATTATGCATTCAATATAAAAATGCATGTGCTTTTAAACCGATCACATTCAAATTTATACTGATCATTTAGATATCATCATGTAAGGCTTCTTGTTTTGTGACACTATGTCATAATAACATGAAATAAAGATTTAATATTTTTTTTAGTTGAAGAATACGTGACATGCATCATAGACAAGGCAGCCGACACCCTGAGACAGGAGTTGCCTAGCAACACAGCGACCTTAACAGTGAGGCCAGCAGACGACAACATATCATTGTCCTCCAGTATCATCAGCCGTAAGTCATTTTTGTTGCTACAAAGGTTAATTGTAACAACATCCCTATTGCCCCGGGGAATGCGTAGGATAGCTGATATTTTGCACTTTGTCTGCCCCGCACTTCCGGGTAAATACGAAGGTTGCGGCTTTTAGCCAACATTTTACCTGCTGGCAGTCTCCGCAGGATGGGGCCTTACCAAGAGCGAGGCGCAGGTAAAACTGATCTGTGCATGAAATAATGCGTTTAAATAAATCAAGATATATTGATAATTCTACATTTTCAACAGTTATTTACGACATACATGTATATCTAAAACAAAGTACTGTTAATAAAGGTTGTACCTTTATACGGAAATTTTATGGTTGTTTAAGTACATTGCAGAGATAAAACTTATCCAATGAGTTTTTACCGCTAACTGTTGTTTTTTCACCTTGACACGCGGTAATCTTAAGAGTTATTTGCTATCCCATTCCCAGGTACTCAGCAACGACTGAAACACATAAACACCCGATTATTTTGTGTAAAGAGAATTCTTAATTCTGAGAAGTTATTTTTTAGTGTACACGATATAATTATTTTATTTGACAGAAATTGCTGATATGGCTGTAACAGAGAGCTTGTCAAATATTGTGATGGATGCCGACACCAACCACTCTGCTTTTAGAGCACCTAGAACTATCAAAGAATTCAAGGGTAAGCATGTATATTTAATATTTTGTGACAAACCAAAAAAGACATACAGTAATTCATAATTTTTCATAAAAATAGGCGTCGAGCCGACCAAGAAAAAAAACTTCCGACGAGCTTTCTTTTAAACAAGTTAAAGCACTGGTTACACTTCAAAAGAGCAATTGTGTTCATTCTTTTACAGAAGTATTTGGCATAACCGGATGTGACATCACTGATGATGGTCGTCCACCTGTAAGTGACTAAATGATTAAGGTAAGAATTGATAATAAATTCAGATTTTTTTTTATCAAATCCATTGTTGAAACATTTGGAAACGTAAATTATGTATACTTAGTAATAGGTATGCCTTCTACAATATCATTACAAATTTAAAGAACTCACTAAAGCCACAAGTTGAAATATCTTAACTTTCGATATATTGTAGAAATTGTTTTAACTTTAAATAGGCTAAATGCATATAAAATGAACATATGAAGGTTGAATGATAAGATAACTTTGTAATAAAAGCTCGTGATGCTTACATGTGGTACTCTATCTCAGCTAATTGTTATAAAGACAAAAGTTTTTTATAGTCCTTCAAACACCTAATCTTTAAAAACAAAGGCCAAGTTTTAAATGTACGCAAACTTTTTTTGTTATAAAAAAATATAGTATTGAAAAATCCGAAATTTGATAAAACAGCACCAATATTAATTTTAAACATTATATACAAAATACATGCTGAAAAACTTCTAAACCCCCCATTTTTCTTTTACATTTTTTCTAACCCCTTGGAACCTCCTTATTATTCCATATACGACGTTTACGGGAAAGACGAAAGTTGGGATGCATCCTAAATGTGTTTTCCTTTTCCTCTTTCTAAATTTAAGTTTCGCAATTTCTAATTTCCATAAAATAAGAATACAATATTTAAAAATTAAAATTGATAATTTCAAAAACATGTCTTTTTTTACCTTTTGTTTGTCTTCAAATTTTTAATTTAAGAAGAAAAAAAACCACGCATGTCTTTTTTGTTTGTTTTTTTGCTTTTCTTTGATTGCTTTTTTTGTTGTTTTTTTTGCTTTTTTTGTTTTTTTAAATTTTTATTTTTTGACTTTTTCTTTTTGCTCAGGGACGATTTTATATCTTTAAATATTGTCTAAACTGTTCTGAATTTTATTTTAAATAATAAATCCCTTTAAAAAAAAAACTTGCTTTTATAAATTTTTCATTGAAAAATCACAGTTTTAAAATTTGTTTTTATGCTTTTCCCCAAAAATTTTTGGGTGCACACATATTCAAGGGGAAAAAATGATAATAAATTTAAGGGATGATAGAAAACCCAAAACAACTTTTTTCCATGCACAAAACGGGTGTTTTTTGTATATTTTTTAATTCTAAACTGTTTTTTTAAAATTTAATACTGCATAAACTTTGCGGATCTTTGCTAAAAACGTAAAAAAAGCCTTTTGAGTTTTTTCCTTTTTAAAAACTATTCTTAAAAAAGAAAGAAGAAGATAAAACAAAAACAACAACAACAAAAAACATTTGTAATAACTAAAAAACGTTTAATAACAAATAATGAAATAAGATCACTGCAATGCATTTTCGTTCTGGATATGCTTCCTGTATCTTACGGTGGCACAAAGGTGACATGTGTGTGTTTTTAATTTATCTCGTGCGCACGAGTTACTAAGTTGTGGCCACGAGATAATTAATCGTGGGAACGAGAATACTATGTCGTGGCACGAGATACTAAGCCGTGGCCACGAGTTACTTAGTTGTGGCCACGAAGATAGTTAAGTCGTGGAAACGAGATACTATGTCGTGGCCACGAGTTGCTATGAATAAAAATGTGAAAATATTTTTTTGCCAAATTCTTGTCTTATCTATATATTTTATGAAAAATATTAAATGAGAGTTTGAACATTTTCGAGAACGGAAGAAAACTGCCAAGATTTGTGTTGAATCATTCATGTAAAGCAAATACATGTAATATTGTTGCGCTACGGTCCAGCTATATGGTACCAGGTCCCTTTAATCTTCTTAAAAATGTGGTAACGTGCTCAAGACTTGGTGACCAATAATCAGACTGGACTGTAGAGAACGATACTGTCCACAATTATAACAATGTTCTATGGAAAGCCATGGCTGTCTGATATTGTTCTTTTTCAATTCATGTAACCATTTGGATAATATATGAGTTCACTTCGACTATATATGAATTGAAAACACCTTCTTATTTAACCGGAATCCATTATATTAATCCACAGTAACAGTATATGAAACCATACTGTCAGTGTATGAAACCGAGTTAGCAATATATAAGTTGATTTTCTCAATATATGATTCCAATTCTTCAATATATGTTACCAAATTAGCCATGTATGGAACCAGATGTCCTTATATGAAACCGAATTATCAATATATTAATTCATTTTTACAATATATGAAACCATTTTATCAATGTATGGAACCAAAGTAGCAATATATGAGTTGGTTATACCAATTATTCAATATATGGAACCAAAGTAGCAATGTATGGAACCAGGTGTCCTTATATGAAACCAAATTATCAATATATTTATTCATTTTTACAATATATGAAACCATTTTATCAATGTATGAAAGCAAAGTAGCAATATATGAGTTGGTTATTACAATATATGATACCAATATTTCAATATATGGAACCAAAGTAACAATGTATGGAACCAGGTGTCCTTATATGAAACCAAATTATCAATATATTAATTCACTTTTACAATATATGAAACCATTTTATCAATGTATGGAACCAAAGCAGCAATATATGAGTTGGTTATTACAATATATGATACCAATAATTCAATATATGGAACCAAAGTAACAATGTATGGAACCAGGTGTCCTTATATGAAACCAAATTATCAATATATTAATTCATTTTTACAATATATGTAACCATTTTATCAATGTATGGAGCCGAAGTATCAATATATAAGTTGATTATCACATTATATAATACCAGATCTTCAATATATGGATCCAAGTAAGTCATGTATTGAACCAGATGCCCTTATATGAAACCAAATTATTAATATATTTAATCAATTTTACAATATATGAAACCAGTTTATCAATATATGTAACCGAAGTAGCAATATATAAGTTGATTTTCACATTATATGATACCAGTTCTTCAATATATGATACCAAAGTAGCAATATATTGAACCAAAATGTCATTATATTGACGGGACTTTTTTTAAAGGCTGTATTCTATCCTTGCACCGGTATTACAGTTTCGCGCCAATATTCCTTGTTTAAAGAACAGCGTGCTTCACTGACTGCATACTGCACATTTTCTGAATAAGGAAATATTTGAATTTAACGTCACATTCACTTAAAATGGGCTGGGCAGGCAAAACTTATCGTTATATATGTAGGAGTTGTATGTCATAATTTAAGCTATTGAGTCGTACTGACCATTAACAAAAACATATTTAAAAAATAAGTTCATCTCGACCTTTACCTTTGATCAAAAATAGGCATGGCCAGAAGGACACATCAAGGTTAATCTACTCACAAAGTTTAAAAAATAATCAGTCAAATAATAATTGATTTCATGAAAAAGTGTATGCATTGTAATAACAGAACCCAGTGATATGGAAAGCCATGGCTGTCTGATATTGCTCTTTTTCAATTTATGTAACCATTTGGATAATATATGAGTTCACTAATACTATATATGAATTGCAAACACCTTCTTATTTAACCGGAATCCATTGTATTAATCCACAGTAACAATATATGAAACCATAATGTCAGTGTATGAAACCGAGTTAGCAATATATAAGTTGATTTTCTCAATATATGATACCAGATCTTCAATATATGGTACCAAAGTAGCCATGTATGGAACTAGATGTCCTTATATGAAACCGAATTATCAATACATTAATTCATTTTTACAATATATGAAACCATTTTATCAATGTATGGAACCAAAGTAGCAATATATGAGTTGGTTATACCAATTATTCAATATATGGAACCAAAGTAGCAATGTATGGAACCAGGTGTCCTTATATGAAACCGAATTATCAATATGCATGTATTAATTCATTTTTACAATATATGAAACCATTTTATCAATGTATGGAACCAAAGTAGCAATATATGAGTTGGTTATTACAATATATGATACCAATTATTCAATATATGGAACCAAAGTAACAATGTATGGAACCAGGTGTCCTTATATGAAACCAAATTATCAATATATTAATTCATTTTTACAATATATGAAACCATTTCATCCATGTATTGAACCAAAGTATCAATATATAAGTCGATTATCACATTATATGATACCAGGTCTTCAATATATGGTACCAAAGTAGCAATGTATGGAACCAGATGTCCTTATATGAAACCAAATTATCAATATATTAATTCATTTTTACAATATATGAAACCATTTCATCCATGTATTGAACCAAAGTATCAATATATAAGTCGATTATCACATTATATGATACCAGATCTTCAATATATGGATCCAAGTAAGTCATGTATGGAACCAGATGTCCTTATATGAAACCGAATTATCAATATATTAAATCATTTTTACAATATATGAAACCATTTCATCCATGTATTGAACCAAAGTATCAATATATAAGTTGATTATCACATTATATGATACCAGATCTTCAATATATGGATCCAAGTAAGTCATGTATGGAACCAGATGTCCTTATATGAAACCGAATTATCAATATATTAAATCAATTTTACAATATATGAAACCAGTTTATCAATGTATGTAACCGAAGTAGCAATATATAAGTTGATTTTCACATTATATGATACCAGTTCTTCAATATATGATACCAAAGTAGCAATATATGGAACCAAAATGTCATTATATTGACGGGACGTTTTTTAAAGACTGTATTCTATCCTTGCACCGGTATTTCAGTTTCGTGCCAATATTCAAAAGACCAGCGTGCTTCACTGATTGCATATTGCACATTTTCTAAATAAGGAAATATTTGAATTTAACGTCACATTCACTTCAAATGGGCTGGGCAGGCAGAACTTATCGTTATATGTACGAGTTGTATGTCTTAAGCTATTGCGTCGTACTGACCATTAACAAAAACATATTTAAAAAATAAGTTCATCTCGACCTTTACCTTTGATCAAAAATGGGCATGGCCAGTAGGACACATCAAGGTTCATCTACTCACAAAGTTTAAAAATAATCAGTCAAATAATAATTGATTTCATGAAAAAGTGTATGCATTGTAATAACAGAACCCAGTGACCTCGGCCTTTGACTTGTTGAAATGAAAATAGGCTACTTTGGTTCCATATAATGAAAATTGCTACCATAGACTGTAACATCAACTTATATACTGCTACTTTGGTTCCATGCATTAATAAAATGGTTTCATATATTGTAAAAATGACATAATATATTGATAATTCGGTTTCATATAAGGGTATCTGGTTCCATATATGGCTTTTTTGGTACAATATATTGAAGAACTGGTATCATATAATGTGATAATCAAGTCATATATTGCTACTTTGGTTCCATACATTATTAAATTGGTTTCATATATTGTAAAAATGAATTAATATATTGATAATTCGGTTTCATATCAGGACATCTGGTTCCATACATGGCTATTTTGGTACCATATATTGAAGAATTGGTATCATATAATGTAATAACCAACTCATATATTGCTACTTTGGTTCCATACATTGATAAATTGGTTTCAAAAATTGTAAAAATGAATTAATATATTGATAATTCGGTTTCATATCAGGACATATGGTTCCATATGTGGCTACTTTGTTATTATATATTGAAGAATTGGTATCATATAATGTAATAACCAACTCATATATTTCTACTTTGGTTTCATAAATTGATACATTGGTTTCATATATTGAAAAATGAATTAATATATTGATAATTCGGTTTCATATAAGGACATCTGGTTCCATACATGGCTACTTTGGTACCATATATTGAAGAATTGGAATCATATATTGAGAAAATCAACTTATATATTGCTAACTCGGTTTCATACACTGACAGTATGGTTTCATATATTGTAACTGTGGATTAATATAATGGATTCCGATTAAATAAGAAGGTGTTTTCAATTTATATATAGTCGAAGTGAACTCATATATTATCCAAATGGTTAAATAAATTGAAAAAGAACAATATCAGACAGCCATGGCTTTCCATATATTTTGGTTCCAGTTAATGATAATTGCTATCATAGAATGTAACATCAACTTATATACTAGCTGCTACTTTGGTTCCATACTTTAATAAAATGGTTTCATATATTGTAAAAATGACTTAATATATTGATAATTCGGTTTCATATAAGGGCATCTGGTTCCATATATGGCTTCTTTGGTACAATATATTGAAGAACTGGTATCATATAAAGTTATAATCAAGTCATATATTGCTACTTTGGTTCCATACATTGATAAATTGGTTTCATATATTGTAAAAATGAATTAATATATTGATAATTCGGTTTCATATAAGGACATCTGGTTCCATATATGGCTATTTTGGTACCATATATTGAAGAATTGGTATCATATAATGTAATAACCAACTCATATATTGCTACTTTGGTTCCATACATTGATAAATTGGTTTCATATATTGTAAAAATGAATTAATATATTGATAATTCGGTTTCATATAAGGACATCTGGTTCCATATATGGCTATTTTGGTACCATATATTGAAGAATTGGTATCATATAATGTAATAACCAACTCATATATTGCTACTTTGGTTCCATACATTGATAAATTGGTTTCATATATTGTAAAAATGAATTAATATATTGATAATTCGGTTTCATATCAGGACATCTGGTTCCCTATATGGCTACTTTGGTACCATATATTGATGAATTGGTATCATATAATGTAATAACCAACTTATATATTTCTACTTTGGTTTCATAAAGTGATACATTGGTTTCATATATTGAAAAATGAATTAATATATTGATAATTTGGTCTCATATAAGGACATCTGGTTCCATACATGGCTACTTTGGTACCATATATTGAAGAATTGGAATCATATATTGAGAAAATCAACTTATATATTGCTAACTCGGTTTCATACACTGACGGTATGGTTTCATATATTGTAACTGTGGATTAATATGTATACAATGGATTCCGGTTAAATAAGAAGGTGTTTTCAATTCATATATAGTCGAAGTGAACTCATATATTATCCAAATGGTTACATAAATTGAAAAAGAACAATATCAGACAGCCATGGCTTTCCATAATGTTCTATATAAAATAGAAATTGTTATGGTTAGGGGGACTGATGATACTTGATTTGGATGGCTGTCAAAGCCTATAGATCCATTTAGCTGAAATATGCTATTATGGATCTGCCAATAGTGGGCTACTCTGTATAACACTGTATGGCTTGGACACTGTACTCCAAAGTACTTGATAATAATTCCCCACTTCTGGAGGTACATGTATGCCAGTTTAAGATTAAAATTGAGTCACGAAAAAGAAAGACTGTTCACTGTTTACTAATTTTAATTAGTGGTAAACTGTTAAGAAATTCAAATGTGAAATATTCAAATAACAGTATTGTATATAATATCAACACATGTATATAATTCAGTCTTAAATATCCGATAGCTATGTCTTACATAGACTTCACATAAATTATTACCGCGACTGCCGTTTAATTTCAATTAAAAAATGTGAAAACGTAAATAAAGTTTGGTCGAGTCAGTGACCGTAATAATGTAAAACAAAAATTATGAATTTCTTATCAATTATTCTTAGACAATAATTAAATGTAAAATAATAATCTATAGACTATGTTTTATTTTGCCTTAAAAAAGTAAAAATTGCCGTTCAGAAGAACACGACAATTATGTAGACTAACCGAAAGTTAAATGAAAACTGACTGAAGTTGATCGTTTTCTGGCCTATTTATACCAAATCTGAGAAAACGAACATAAAAAGGTTCGAAAAATGTTCAGCTTTACGTTTTGGTCAGTGGACAATAGTCGATGTTCGAAAACTGATCATTTGACGTTCGGAAACGATCATTTCCATACAGAAAGAACGATGTCAACCAACCGAACGTCCGAACATCAACAATTCATAGCTAAAGTTCTATGAAAGTTTACATAAAATATGATAAATTGATACATATAATATTTATAAAAATGACTAGTACCATGGATTGACTATAAGTTTGTTGCTTTTGATGAAACATAACTTTGAAACAATTTGTTTACTGAGATTAGGCAGCAATTGCTATTGACAACGGAAATCATACAACCCATAATGCATTGGCGAACAACAACAACACCTGTCAAAGTTTATCGAGTAAAATCACAATAAATGCTAGTACTTTCTAGCTAAATGTACGCTGATTATAAGAAAATATGTAAACAATTAATGAAATAAGTCATTACTCTTTATAATTCTGACATTATTTATGGTTGTCAGTCTATGAAATTAACACAAAAAAGCGTTTACCGGTACATGCAAAATGTAAACAATGCCGGTAATTACTTACGATTAGAGTAAACAAGTGCGATTATATCAATATTACGAAAATATAATGAGCTTTCATAATTGAAGTACTCGCTCCTGTCTGTTAATTAAGAAACAGTTTTATGTTTATTTCATATAGACCTTTTTACAATACGATTTTCCATAGCAGCGAATGTTGCATTTCGCGCATGCGCATTCTGCGTAGGGCAAAACGCAATAACGATGTCTATACAGTCTATCATACCCTAAGGCTTTAATAGATGCAATTTCATGTTATGTCACCCAAAAAACATTAATTTTGGGATGACTTAAGGCGGTAAGTACTGAAAACGTGAATTTATTTTTTAACAGATCTACGAAAATGTGCAGTGGTCAAAATGGGCACACACATGTCGTTTGTTTAAGGTATCATTGACGACTTTTTCATCAGTAATTTAAATTGAAACAGCAGGGTGCTGTAGATAAAACTTTGGACATATTATATTTTTAATGATTCGTAGATCTATAAGGATCCTGGAAAAACCATGAATTTTTAGCACTTTATAATAACCAATGGTTCAAGTCGTTTCTTGGAATTTCAATTATTTATCTTCTAAAAGACAAAATATATGGATTGATACATGGATCCACAAAACTGAAGTGCGCTTAAAATTTACATAAAAGTTAAGCACTTAAAAATTCACAAAAGATCACGGAGTATTTTGTCAGGTAGATCCACGAAACTTTTTTCGTGCGACATGTACGTTTGGAAGCGGAAAGAAAGCATAAACTTACCAGAAAGTGACATTGTCATTGTGCGACATAATCTTTCAGAAACTTACCAACAAGAAAACGATGGCTGCAAAGTACCAAATAAATCCAAAATCCTTTCATGATTGATAATTAGTCGTTTCTCTTTAACATTACCGAAGTATTCATTCATACCAAATTACATGAACGAAATGGCGTTTTAGATTTATCAAACCCAATGTTCATATTAGTACTAGAAAATTCAGTTCGATGCTTAGAGTTCATATACTTTTATAAGACAAAAGTTCGTATAAAACAAATATTTTCTATAGTCCTAATTGTTTTCACGTCATAATGCCATTTCCCGTCTAGGGACAGGGTGTCATCGATTCGGTCAATAGTGAAAATGTCAATGTTTTGTTAACTAAGATTTGTTTAGATTGGTATTATTTAATCATGTAAAATATTGTGAAGTATTGTTGATTTATAATGTTACATTAAGAACAAACAATATTTACCTATCAAACGATACTTTATTTGGCTTGAAATAGAACTATTGCCATATATATCAAATGAATAATTAAGCAGATTTTATGTAAAAAGGCCAACAACAACCGGTATTCATTTTTTTTTTAAACGTAAAGGTCTTATATTTATGATACAGAACTTCATCACGAGAAATCTTCATTTTAATCAAACAAGACCCCATTTTCATTATAAAGTGGCTTGTAAAAAGATCATAAGTCTCATTACATACATTTATAGATATGGCTATACATGTACATTGGATGATTTAGTGGTTAAAATGTCAGCATCTCAAACCTGGGATCGCTGGTGTCGATCCTACATGGTATCGCAACCATCCTCCTTCTTACGACACCAACGCTGGTTAGTTCTTGTCAAAACTACACTGTGTGACCAATATGGACTCTTGATCACATGACCACGACGACATGAACTGAAGATTTTCATTTTCTGAAATATGACTAGCTCTCTCCAAAGATATTGAAAAAGTTATATAGGCCTAACCATATTGAAGAAACAAAATACAAAACAAGAGCTGCGATGCAGCGGGCCCGATGGCAAACAGACAAATATCTGCCTTCCAGCTAGGCAGCAAGTTTATGTTTTGTAAAGCACAGATGCTTATTTTTCTGTAAACACATATTCTTTTTTCAGGTACATGTAATAGCATATTAGCAATATAGATCGTTTGCATATAAAGAGGCTTAACTTTGTCAATAAATTGATTGCAAAGGAAATCAAACTTTAACGGTGTTTTGACATAGCATACACGCATGCCAAATATTATCACAATCCTTCAAAAGCTACATGTGGGGCGTCCGTGGCCGAGTGGTTAAGGTCGTTGACTTCAACCCACTTGCCCCTCACCTCTGTGGGTTCGAATCCCGACAGGGACTTTGGATTCTTTCATGCAAGGAAGCTATCCAGCTAGCTTACGGAACGTCGGTGGTTCTACTCAGGTACCCGTTCGTGCCTGAAATAATGCACGGAAGGGCACCTGGGCTCCACCAGTAAAGCTGGAACGTCGCGATATGACCTATACTGTGTCGATGTGACGTAAAACCCAAAACAAACACAAAATCAAAAGCTACATGTATCCAGCGGATACCAATAATTTTGAGGAAAAATGCATTTAATGGATTAAAGGGCATAATTTTTTTAAAAATGCTGATTGCAACGAAAATCAAGCTTAACCCGCGTCTTAACCTTTTACCCCATGAGCATATTGCGAAAAATGGCCGTTTTCATTGAAAAGCCTCCTGTAACAAGTTCAAACTGCTATGAAACTATGAAAAATGCTTCAATACTAATGAAACTTGGCACAAATGTTGACTACACCATAGCCTCTGTAACAGCATGCTCAATTGTAAATTTCCTGTTACCATGGCAATGGGGGGACGTCTCAAAATTGCCAAAAATCACTATTTTGCATTGTTTTTTTTCCATCAAAACTGATTTCAAAGTGCTGCAACTTCTCAATGAATTGAGATAGAGTAAAAGACTTTTCAGCGTCGGTTACTAGTTACCCTAAGATTGACCTGAGGCTATTTTTAGCCTGTCACATGTCCAAAATTTTCTTGGCGATGAGGGGGACTCTGCCCCCTTCTGGCAACCCCCTGATGTAATATTTGGATGGGGGACGGCGCCGAAAAAGTGGTCACTTTTTTAACAACATTTCTCAAACGAAAAACAGTGTTTGGGGCCTAAATAGGGCATTTCTTCACTGTTTGAGGCATCAAAAAGGGGGGGGGGGCAAAAAGCCGTCGAAACACGCTTATATAAGGGAAAAAGTTAATATAACATACTTTTATTTCAATCCATTAAAATTGTCCATGCAGAAACCAGTAGTTCTTTAGAAAATGTACTTAAAAAAGAGGCATAACTCTACCTACTATTGACTGCAGCAAAAGTCCAACTTCTTTGCTTTTATTGCCAAATAATAAACATTATCATTAAAATCCTTTAAAAATTATTGCAGAAAAAAAAATAGCCGAAACGTATTCAATAAATAATTACTGAATGTTCGTGTTTGTGTGCCTTTACTGTTTACTGCAAATCATTCAAGTTAACTTACAGAAACCAATTTTATACGAGCATGCAGTGCTATTTACTATAATATGTCCTAAAGAAACGGAGCTATATTACATTATAATTGAGCCGCGTCACGACAAAACCAACATAATGGGTTTGCGACCAGCATAGATCCAGAATAGCCTGCGCATCTGCTCAGTCTGATCAGGATCCATGCTGTTCGCTTACAAATCCTATAACAAGTAGAGAAACTGATAGCGAACATTATGGATCCTGATCAGACTGCGCAGGATGGTCTGGATCCATGCTGGTCGCAAACCCATTATGTTGGTTTCGTCATAACGCGGCTCATATATTATATAGTTGCATAAGTCTTTGTCAACATATGGACACAAATAAATTAAGAATACACATATTTTGTTATAACAGATGTTTTTATTTGAAAATATTAAATAAATCTAGTTATATTAGTTCATAGTCATGATCCTTAAGTAAATATATACAAACAAATCTCATACAGTCACTCAACCTGCATTGTAACTTGTGTTTTTTTTTTTAATCAACACTGGCCACACACAGTACGCCTGTTTGTCACATTCAAGCACAGTACAGAACTAAATATGACATTGTTAAATTACAGTACATAACTTTAATATCAGTACTTTGTAAAATTCAAATTCAAAAATAATACAAAACATGTATCAGTATTATTTCTAAATACTTGTAAAATCAAAACAAAGATGAGAAAAAATAACACCAAAGTACAGTACAGAACAATTAGCATTTTTGTAAATTTCAAGTACTGTACAGATTCATTAACATAAATATGAAAAGTTCAGGCTTAAAATGCACTTAACTTTAAATGAAAACTTGTCAAATTCAAGTACAGTACAGAACTTATATCAGGATTTGTAATTTTTAGACACAGCACTGAAAAGCACTACAGTACTTTGATCATTAATACAAGTACTTTTAATGTTTATAGTATGTCACCTGTTACTGTTGTATAGTATTACAAAGTTAAAATAAATCTTTGCATCTTTACTCAGCCTTAATTTAAAGTACATGTTCATTGTATATAAATTTACAATCCCTTACCTAAAATGACAAAATTCTGTCCAAGTTACATATGAACAGTTGGCTTGAATTATTTAAAGGAACTCCACTGAGGTCCAAAAGCCTAAAACATAAGATTTGAATTTCTTACATATATCTGCTGGGGCACTTTAAACGGAAATATTTTACAGATTGTAAGGAAATATACACAGAAATAAATTGAAAATTGTATTTTTTTTGCCATTCTTATCACAATTTGAGTGAAAAAGGGTTTTTCATTTTTTTCTTTATTTTTCACAATTAGAATGAATTGTGGAAAAACAGAAGGATCGAAAGACCTGCAATATCCACACAAGTTATTGGTCTGGACCTACATCGAATGGAACATTAATCTCGAAACATTTTCAGTTATGTCATGTCAATACCTCAGTGGGGTCCCTTTAACACTTCTCACAAAACCACCAAAAATGGTCAATAATATGTTTACACATAGAACATGCATAACTTTCAATGTCAAACTATTACTTGAATGAAGACAGTGTACCATGAACACATAATGAGGTCACATAATGACATCACATTAATAATGAACAAACAGAACTAATATCTAGTTCAAACAGAACTAATATCTAGTTCTAAAGTATTTACAATAAACTTGACTTCTTTGAACTTGGAACAATCCGTTGCAAAGTTTAAAGAGATTTCAATACCAAAACAACCAAACTGTACAATATAGATGTATGCACGTGCCAACTGAACAAACTTTAATGGGTGGAATTGACACGTTTAATCACCACAATATAGTATTCATTCAAGCTTAAGGTCTTCAGCATACCCCCCCCCCCTTTTTTTTTACTGTGGCAGGATGGTTAATGCCACATGAGATGAAAGAAAAAATGTTTTTAAAAAACAACATGTAAAGTTTTGGAAGCCAGAGCTATATTCATTCAAGCTACGACCTAAATAGTCAAATAATGTCGCTGATTCAAGAAGTTAAAAGTCCAGTATCTTTTTCTGGCAAAGGGTGGGGGAAGGTGGAGAACGAGGGGTGGGGCGGGGTTTCTGATAAAGTGATAAAGATTAAAAGGAATACATTTTATTGATGAAACAATAAGTGCGCATAAACATCGGGTGGTTCAATTAACCTCCTTTGTACTTTTCTTGTATGATGTTAATACATAATGTTATACAAGACAAGATATTACAATGACATTAATTACCGTCAACACATGTTACCATCTTACATATCCAATTCTCATAATCTATTTCTTGTGTACAAGAAAAACACAAGAAATAAACCCAAACTTCTAAGACAAATCCAGTACCTTTATCATTACTATTGACATTCATTATTGCATACACAATAATATCATTCTTGTTTGATTTTATGCAAGCGAATTAGTCCTGCTTGAAATTTGAAACAATCCATAATTAGTTAAGTTTCTGATATCAAACTGTTTAAAATAAAGCAGGAAAAGGTCAGGTCAATCAGCAGGGAACTGCAAGTTGGTCTAGTTCTAAACTAGTGGTATAGCCAAGCCAATTATACCACTAGCATTCAAAGAATTAATTGATATGACAGTTAATGTTATTTTTTTTCAGATGTAGGTAGACAGTTATGA